TTTTTAAAACTCATATTCCTCCTCAAGCAGGTGATAGAACATTTTTTAAAGCAGTAATTTATTAAAACATGGTACACCATAATTTTGCCATTTTCCTGCAATAAGGGTGGCAAATGATTCACAGGAAAAAATGAAATATATTTCCCTGTCAGTTCAATAGATCAGAGATTTACAGCTTCTTGACTTGGACAGGAAAAACTCAGCATGCATAAAAATGAATTGCAAATCAGTTAATTGTAGAGATGCAAAACTAAAAGCATCTCAGCGGTTCAGTAAAATAATTTCACCAGAACAGATTAGTGGGGAGCAATCCTCCATTGACATCCAGAGGTGACTAGCAGAGAAATCCAGAGAACCTTGTTTTAAAGAGGAGGGGTGGGGGGAGAGACAGAGAGATGCGTCAAATCAGTTTAAGCCGATTCAATTCAATTCACTTTCTCTCAGTTTTAATGGTTAAGTTAATTGCATTTACATCACTTTATAGGTTAGTATATCTTGATAAGAAAGGATGAAATGTCTGGTTCAGGATAGGGGAGAATCAGAGCTGAATATTCATTTTAGCTACATGAAAGAAGGACCTGTGCATTCCAGGATATTTTAGTCAGATTGAGGCTAGTGATTTTATTGTTATAAAGGCCAAGAAAACCCCACACAGAACATGTAGCATTACACATGTGAGGAACAGATGTTCTTCAGATGGTGTAATGATTGAATAAAAGATGATCCAAGGTACTGCGGCCCACTAACCCAAAAGCTCAAACAAAGCATCTTTTAAAAAACAGGAAACAGGAGTTTGAATTAATCCCCAATGACGCTCAAAACTGGAGCACTGCATGTCCCTCCATCTCCCACCCCCACCAACATTTTATAGGATTTCTGGAGAACAATTCTCTGCCCCCACTTTGTACTTCTGCACAAATCCAGCTCAGTCTGATGCACACTTGTATCTTCAGGCAAAAAGGGTCCAGGATGGAAAGCAAAGCACCATTTAGGTTCACTTATCAAGGAATTAGCCGCTGACAGTTTATGGAAAGCAGACACACACGAACTGGGAGACCAGTCTTGGAATTCTCCTAAATTAGTTGCGTCTCACACAGAGATTGAGTTAAGTATTGATTCTGGACGGAAGCCTGCAGCCTTCTGATCATAACACCTGTGCAAATATTGTACAGCATGACTGCTCCTGTGCCTCTGTATACGTTTCATACCTCCAGTGGATAATTGGGGGGGGGGAGGCTGGGGAGGGAAGAGGCTAAAAGGCAGGGGATGGGCAAACTTGAGAGGCCCTTCATTTTCAGTGGGAGAGAAACAGAACTCATTTAGCAGCAAAACGGCACATCACTGGAGATGTTGTTCTCTTTGATAATCTCCCCCAATCAAATGCAATCAGCTCAAATTTGATGTGGGAATTCACTCTGAGCGCTGAGGCTGAAATACTAACATGGCTTTGATATTTCCAGGCTCTCTGCTAAAACTAATCTGCACCCCAGCTCTGAACCATTTTTAAAGCTCAGCCCTTGGCCGCCGCTCCCCACCACCACCACACGCATTCCTTTCAACAAGGTTCGCCTCGATTCAGCACTGCATGCATAGCTATAGGGAGAGATTAGCAAGAAAAGCGCTGACCGTATTTGGCAGGAGGAAAGTGGGAGGCTCTGGCTTTTCGGATAGAATAGTGGAGATGGCAGCATGTTTTCTGACACATTGCTTGCCACAGATTAATGGGGGTTTTTTTTAAGAGAGTGTGTTTGCAATTATGTTCTCAAGATGCACCAGTTCTAAACAAGTGATAACATTCGGGTCACCACCAATATATCATTTGTGCAATGCACATGTAGATAGCAATGGTAAAAAAGAAAAGTTAAATCATGTGCCCCATGTAAATTAGGAACAATAAAAGAATATGGGTGTTATAAAATTTGTGTTAAAAACTTATAAACAGCTTTGCTGATTTACTGTCAATGAAAATATATAGCTTCTTTCCCCATTGTCAGAACATTTATCAGCACTTGGCAACTCTGGACTAACCTGACATGCAAGATGATCAAAATGGATTATGTAATCTTTTCCATTTATTCCTATTGATTTTAGTCATGATAAAATTCAGCAGCGTGGGCTGGGAATATTGCAGCTGAAGAGAGTTGGCTGGGTGAAATAAATAAATAAGTCCATCCCCAGAGCTCTAGGTTGGCTGTTGTCATCTGTTTGATTCCACGGCGCATAAGAAAAGAAAGCCCAGGAGTGGCATGGCAGCATTTCAACCAGCACACAGAGTCAGTACTTCTTGACAAGCCTCTCTGTATTTTAACTCCTAATTTTCCTGACCAGATATTGAGTTAAGGTCAATAATTTATTTTATTCCTTGAAACTGAGGTTTAAAGAAGACTTTATTTTAAACTTTTTACCAATGGGTGAAAGCAGGAGGTGGTGGGGGGGGCTAGCCAAAGGCTAATCAACTTTATTTCTGTAACTGCCAGTAACATCAAAATGCCAGCAAGTGGACCATTTTAATCAGTTTTATTGATTCATGCTTTCAGTTCTTATTCAGTTAAAAACAAGGCACATTAAATACATCCTCTTATTGCTCTATAAATGCATGCAGCTCATTCTGTATATCAAAAGTAATAAATAATGGCAATAAAACACCGAGACAGTTATAAAAATGACAACCCAGCTTCAAACACAATATTTAACAGTCTGATCCTGAACGATAACCCAACACAATACATAAAAGTGCCAGATGGAAAAACATGTGGCATGTATATATGTATATGTGTGCATATATGTGTGTGTACTCACTCACATGCCCTCTCTCTCCCCCCACCCCCCCAAAGCCAGGTACCTGGTTGCAATATTTCTTTCCTTCCTTTTTGAAGCACAGTGGTACAATAGTACGACGTGTCTTTAACACAGTGCAAAACAGTTCTGCAAGTGCCTTCCCTTTAAATTTTTGTACTCATGTAAAAATCTTCAGTACAGATAAAAGAGCTTCATGTAACCAAGTCATTTTGAGTTCTGAATTCTAATTCTTTAATTTTACTGAATCAAGCAAGTGGAAGATTCATCTATAATATCTTTCACGTCCTCAAACAAAACTGAGATATGCATTTTTGGGAGAAGAGAAGAGAAGAGAAGAGAAGAGAAGAGAAGAGAAGAGAAGAGAAGAGAAGCTAAAATCCAGAGATCAGGCTAAAAAAATGCATACAGACCATCACGGGAAATCAACATACACACATGCATGTTCACGGCATGACTGCATTGGCAGCAAAAGATGAAGAACAGCAAGAATGGAGCTCGGGTAGTGATAACCAGAACTAGGGGTTGCTGAAAAGCTTGCGTTATCATGGAGACGGAACCTATTTGAAAAGGTGTATTCAAAAATGAATATTAGACCACCTCCTCCAGAACAGATGTTGTTTTTCTTCACTTGCCATCCCCAGCCTGGTTCAGCTTTGGTGGTGGAGAAACAGTTTGCTAAATTCCTGGAGCATATCTGGATGAGACACACGTGTGTGCGTGTGCACATTCTATCCCTTGTCGGAGGCGTTAGCTTTTGCTCGAAGGGTCAAAGGGGAATGCTAAAGTGCCATTTTTATTCAAAGGTATATAAAAACACTGGCACCCTCACATTTTTAGGGTATAAATACAGTAGTGTTCTTTTCTCCATATACTCTTATACACAGCTTTGGACTACTCCCATTTTAGTTAATGTTTCTGCTCCAAGTGAGATCATGTTAACCCAAGGAGAAGACAACTCATGTAAAAGAGTCCAGTACTGGCCGGGTGGAGGGGAAGCAGCCCATGGGATACACTGCACAAAACAATCCTTTGTGCCCAAGGAGAAACCTCAACATTGATATGTGCGTACAAAGTTTTAGTCCTGTATTTCAAGTCTGCCTGAAGTGCCTAGCAGGAGGACGAATCCATTTCTGCCTCCACCACCCTATCAAAGGGAAGTCTGAAATATCTTGATCGGAGCCAAAACTTGCAAGAGCAAAATGTTGGCACACATGTCTGCCAGATCCCTTCCTGAATGCTGCCTTCACGTAACTTTCTACCAGGCCTCTGCCCCTTAGGCTCAACACGGACCAAGGGAGAGTTTCACCCTTTAAAGGTGGCCTAAAAGTAAACAATTAAAATATAAAACTTTGTAACAAAATGCAAATGCATACCTCTGAAGTTACTTGCTGGGTTGGTGGTATGTACCAGTAGCTTTTCTAGCAGCAGAAACCCTCAGTACCTTCAGCATTTCTATAGAGGGTGCTTTGACAGGAGAAATGAGGTCTTTTGGGCAGAATACAGTGCCCCATTAGAAGGGTCCCAGACTGTGGGCTGATGTTGCATGCAGATTCCTCATGTCATTCTTCTGTCTAGGTATATTAAGGGTCAGCTCACATGCTGTGTTCTGAAGAATGCTGCACTTCTTGTTATTCAAGAGATGAGCATCATCATGCCAGGAAGGATTTTGGCCTGCAAGTTCTAAGAGCACACACTCCACGCACTGTATGACTCACAGGAGCATCCCCTTGAAGAAGAACTCAGAATGGGGATAAATGCCCCTCAGGAGGTGAAAACATGTCAAGACAAAGTACACGAAGGCTTCTTCTCTCCACACCAGCAACCCAGAGCCTCTTCTCTTTGCTTCATGTTAGCGCCTCATTTTCCAAACAAGAAGCAGCAAACTTTCCACTTCAGCACATGGCCCACCTTCACAGGGAGAGTAACTGGGGTGGCAGGCAGGAGTGAAAGCCCATGTTTGGGAAAATGGCCCAAAATAGGACAGGAGGCAATCTTAGTAATAGTTTAATAAAGTCCAGCTCAATTTCTCTCTCGTAAAATTACAAGTTGTGACAAGAGGAGAGTTTCCCATTGTGCTTTTCTTTATGGAAAAGAAACAGACCTTTGCTCCGTTCAAAAACAGTTCTACAGAAATTTCATAGGAAAGGAAAAAAAAAACACCTACGTGCTCTAATCACCATATCACATGCTATACCAAGCTGGGAAGAAAGAGAGAGGGAAATCCCGTATTTTTAAAGTCTGGCCATAACAGGATAAGAAGCCCTTTTCTGTACACCTGTCCTTGTGACATGCTTCTAATCTTAACCTGTCTTGGGGTGCTTTTCAGAAATCCACCTGCACATCGTAGTTGCTGCACAGGACATAGCTACTCGAAGCCAAGTATTCCCAGTGAAATACAGGGCGCAAGCCAATTCAAACGCTTGCAACCCTCCACATCTGGAGAATGAAAAGCAGCGGGAGCATGAAAGCAAATGTCACCTCTACATGCCTCCTGCCCTGCAAAACACTTAGGCAGCTGATTTCTGCTAAGTGGGCTGCGCTGGGCTAGAAGGGAAGGATCCAAGATATGCTGCATCTTGGTGGCACTGGCCTCCTCCACTCCCTTTGCTACTCCCCGGAATGCCTGCTCAAGTCCACCTCGGAGGCTCCCCAGGACCCAGAGAAGCAGCTGGCACGGTTCTTTTTGCACTGGCTACGGGTGAGGAGGGGAGGAGACCAGGATTCCCACTGCCTGCATAGGACAGGAGCACCCCTCCGATCTCACAGCAGGGATCTCAGTGATCCTGCGGCTGTCCAGACGCTATCTACTGATCACAAGATTGCTCTGCCTTCCGTGTTTAATCCTAAAAGAACTTGGCCCTGGATGCCCTCTTATCCAAACACAACTAAGTACCTTCATTTGCATTTTGGCAATATTCTTCAAAAATCCAAGATAGGGACACTCTTATTCTCCCCACTGGGAAATCTCAATCTCTCTCTCTCTCTCTCTCGCTCTTCTTTCTTTTTTTAGGGCATGCATTTTAAGAGCCTTGCAACCATGAAAAAGCCCTTCAGCCTTTAAGTTCTAGGCAAAAGATTAACATTTAGCACAACACACTTCTCTAAAATGGGAAAAAGCATTATTCTCCTCAATAACAAATCATTCTTTTTTCTTGTCTTTTTTAGGGCATGCATGTTTTAATAGCCTTGAAACAATTAAAAAAATACAGTTAGCCCTGAAGTTCTAGGCGAAAGTTGACATTTAACATAACACACTTCTCGGGGGGTGGGGTGGGAATCCAGAGATTTAATGAATAAGCCCACATGTAAGACACTGAAGGCAGGCTGCTGCCTTCTGCTTCGGCCAATTTGATACAGCAAGATGCAAGAGGAGGGGTGGAAACCAGCTCACTGATGTATGAAAGGATTCATCCCTGCCCCTGTGCAGCTGGCAGAGTGGTACTGCACCTGCATTCACGCTTGGTGAAAACCTGGATCCCCTCCTGCGGCTTCAAGGTCTAGCCAAGGAGTCGTGTCGATCCCCTTGGATCAGCCCAGGAGAAGTCCTGTAGCTCACAGTTCTTTAACTGCCTTCCGTATGTCAAAAATGTTTGTCCACCGGCAATTCTGCAGAGAGCAGAAACGTCACCCTAGTTCGGTACACCCAGTTCCGCAGGCCGCAGATGGAGCAGTGGGACCGTCACAGCAAACATAGAAGGGGAAGGAAAGGACTGGGGCCACTGCGGTCTCTTGCCATGGGAGCTCAACGGTGGACGGGGCGAGGAGAGGAAGCAGAGACGTCACCACGCACTGGAATGTTTTTTCAGCAGGGAGAGGCAGCTGCACGGGACATCGCTAGGCCACTGTGAGCTCCAGAGCTCACAGGCCACCGCAGCTCCGATCTACTGAAATCACTTCCCGATGATGGATGTTCTCCTCAGCGGCTTTCATCAGCACAGCCAGCCGGCTTCCAGAAACATATCCTTTTTGAATAGCAGTCATAAGCTATAGAAAAGAAGATAGAGAAGTCTTTAAAATCATTTTAATGGCATTTATTTATTTACACTCATACACACAGAGACGTTTGCGTAGGACAGTTTGCTCTCAAGAGCCAAAAAGACATTTCTACTCTCTAGTGAGGTCTACGGACATGCAGCAGGCTTACGGACGAAAGGAAGCTGGAGTCACATTCTCCAACCTCAGTTCTGACTCAGAGGTGGACTCCAGGGGAGAGCGGGCTTCATCCACCAGGACCTGATGCCAGAGTAATCAGTTCAAGTTGCGACAACCCAGATTCAGGCTGGACATCAGGATTAGCTTCCTGACTGTCAGAGCAATACGACAGTGGAACCAGCTGCCTGGAGAGGTGGTGGGCTCTCCGCCACTAGAGACATTCCAAAAGAAACTGGACAGCCAGTTTCTGAGTGGGATGGTGCACTATGGTGTCCTGTAGCAGCAGGGGGTTGGACTCGATGGCCTTCATGGCCCCTCCAACTCTACTATTCTGTGATTCTATGTCCTTCCAGACCAGAGGTGCAGAAGCACCCCCCCCCCCCGCAATTAGTTCTCTTTGCCACAGGAGGCAGGGGCTGCAGAACTGGGCAATGGACCTTCAGACACAGTAGAATTAACCCTGCTGTTTGTGGGTGAGTTTCAGGGAGGAACTGTCCAGAGTCCTGAAAAACTCTGCTTTGCCCTGGCTCCATCCTTGTAAGTAAGTACAACTGTTTCAGATCGGATACTTTAGGACAGCCTTCCACAACTCTGTGTCTTCCAGACACAGTTGCACTGCAACACCCAGAATTCCCAGTCAAGGGCCCTGCTGGATAGGGGTTCTGGGACTTGTGATCCGAATGCCTCTGAAGGCCACCAGGTTGGGGAAGGCTGCCTTAGGAAGCCCAGTCAGAACTAGACTGGAGAAACGGAAAGCCTTCCCTGCGCTCCCAACCTCCAGGCAATGTCAGCCACTAGGTCATCACAGTACATGGGATGCATTCTTAAGCAAACACAGATGCATCACTGTCAAGTTTTTAAACTTTCAGGTATTACATCAGCCTAAAATATGCACACTTTCTTAACAGTGCCCTGAAACTATGTAAAAGTTTGTTCATAATATATCTAGGGAGAAAGTCTAGGAGTCTGCAGAAGATTTTTTTAAGTCATCTGTTCTTCCTCTCCTATATAGCCATTTTGCACTGGGTCTGAGTCATATAGCATCAACATGACAGTGAATGCTATAAACCACAGTCTCATTTTATTTCTCTGACTTCTTCCTTAAGGCCTGAGCTAGGGAGAGATGAGCGAACAATTTGCAATGCATTATTTAGCCTCCTTTCCTGTTTTTAAGCAATCATGGATTCCTCCAGGAAGTACACACATACAGATGCACTCACACAATTATTTCTGACTTTAACGTGAACTCATTGTCTTGCCCAAGAAACCACCATATTTATTCCAATCTTACTAGCTTCTTGGGAAAGGCCGGGATGTTCAAATAAGTGCATCTTCAAGATCAATGCAAACTGACCTATTACGGTTGCTTGCTTGCTTGCTTGCATATTTAGCACCATTCATGTGTGTGGAATCTGATGAAGGAGAAAGATGGATCCCTACCCTAGAGGCTTACCATCTAGGCACAAACATAAGGAAGAAATCACACAGCTAAGTAGCTGCAAGGCCAGCTTGGTAGTTCCATCAAAGGCACTCAAGGGATTCTCTCTTACTTTACCATGAATATTTAATCCAAAAATTGTACCCCGAAATAACAGACTTTAAAGATTTTAATCACGTGCACAGGCACGCAGTAAACAGCCTGCTTGCGATGTGCTGACTCAATGTGCCCTGGTGTATCCGATTCCTCTGGAAGACCGAATGTGAACTTTTCCCACAATGCTTGTCTGTACTGGCTTTGACTGGCAGGGGACAACGTGGTACGAGATCCCTGCAGCTGAATACTGTACTTTGCATTTCACCCAATGGGGCTTTGCATCAGTATTTTCTAGTATGGTGTATTCTGGCTGGGCGTTCCAGGCGCTTCATTCCAGTCCACCACCTCTGGTGTCCCGTCTTCCTACTGCTCCACCGTAACAGCCCTGTTTGCATTCTTTGCCCACTCTCTGGTCTGCTTTCTCACATTTGGGGTGTTTGGGATGAGGGGGCAGTTGTAGCAGTGGGCACACTACAGGCCAATTTGGGCAGCATTAAGTTGTTTGCTTTCTCCACTAATGACTATGCACGTGTCTCACTTCCGCCACTTCCATTAAAGTAGAATCTCAGTGTGAACCAGGAAGTGACCCACTCAGGCAATGAGCTGGTACTTTGTATCTGCTTTATCGCTCTACCTGCCTTATCTCCTGCTTTATACCTCCTGCTTTATTTCCCCTTCCTCACAGAATATCATTTTATTTATCATGTTTGTAAACTGACTTTCCACAAATGTCATCAAAATGATGTACAATACAAATAAAGGCGACACATAAAGACATAAACAGCCGCACAAGTGTATTTTAATACGAGGGTCACTAGCCACAATTGCAAAGGCCCAGTTGGAGAGATTTGTCTCCACTTTGTGTCACCTGCCACCTCCTGTCACCATGATGCAGCCCTCCGTTAAAAGGATCCATGCAGAAATCGTGCCGCAAATGCACGATCAAGGTCACGGCAGGCTAGCGACTGGCTAGTCTGAATCTCCACATTCCTGCCCTCTGTGGAAACCACCTGATGGTGAACGCCGGCTTTGCACGGTGCGGCTGGTGTCAAGCACCAAGACCCCCTCTCATGCTGCAGGGCCCCTGCTGCCGCCTCCTCTCTTGCTAGCTGCTGGTTATTCTGCAGAATTAGCTCCTAGTGAGTAAAGTCCCGGCGAGTTAATTGAGGCTTCATGCAATTTAAAAAGCACCGACTGTGGGTGGACTTCTCTCTTATTGGTCCTTGAGCAAACATACACAACTGGAAAACGTACTAGGCTGTTTTGCCTAGGCTGATACTGGCCTTACTCAGCCAGCCTAAGTACACTAAGTACATTTTACCACATTTTAAACACGAGTAAAAGAAGCTCAGGAAGGGGAGCTTTATCTTTCTCCATAGGCACAAGTCAGAAGCCTGGATTCTCATTTGTTCAGCCTAAGAATTATTATTAATTATATCAGTGGCAGGCAGGCTCCAAAACACAGAAAACAGGGTGACTTTCAACTTCTTCTACAATGCAGGGTTAGAAGGGCAGGCTCCCATTCGTCAAAGCCTCACAACCTGGCTCTCACTTTCCTGTCACTCGACATTCCACACCAGAGTTATTTACGGGGATGTTATGTGTGTGTTGCTTCCAACCTCCATGCTAGAAAAATAAAAAATAAAATGGCTTTTTCCCTCCATCCTCCAGCTTTTTTTCCTTTTATGTTTATTTATTTATTTAAAACATTTCTATGCCACCCCCATCGCAACAAAGCCTTGGGGCGGCTCACAACGAAAACAAAAACAAACAAAATCACATAAAAATTTATACACTAAAAATATTAAAACCCAGTGCATCTCGGCTTAATTTTTTTTAATCCTCCATAATAAATTAACAGTTAAAATAAGTTTTAAATAAAAAGGTCTTAGCCTGGCGCCGAAAAACAAATAACGACGGTGCCAGGCGGACCTCTCTGGGAGCGCATTCCATAGGTGGGGCTTTTAGACCATAGGCCTGAAGACACTTATTACTAATCCTTTGTAAACTGCACGCAAAGGCTTCTGTGGCTAAACAGTGGTGTAAAAATACTTTAAGGAACAGCAATATAGCAATGGTAGAAATTGCATTAATAATGTGAAGTGTGAGAAGCTCAAGAAAACTCTTCCCAAGAAAATTTAGGCTACCATAACTACAATGCAGCAGAATAATCAGCTTTAACTTATTACATGACAGCATGTTCAAAAAAATCCAAAATTTAAACAAGTGTCATCATAAAACCAGGGGCTACTAATTTTGATCCAGATTATCATTTCGTAAAAATAATGTTCAATCCTATTATATTATATTTAGGAGCCTGAGAGGAAAAGACAAAGGGAAACTCACTGTTAGCTGGGGTGGAGAGCACTTTTCAAGCCGCACTTTAAGCCACAACATGGCTTTTATTTTCCCCCTCTCTAAAATATATTTGCTCACATAACATAAGCTGTTATGTCCAAGGTAAATGTATTTTTACTATCAGTATTATTACTATTAAATGCTGGGCACAACCAGTGAAAATTTCTGCATTTACATTCAACAGTGTTCTTATCTGCAGCCCATCCCGAGTGAGACAATTACCATTTTCCCTTCCCTTGATCTTGTTTGTTTAACTTGACACAGTGAAGAAAGGGCTGACATTGACCAAAATCCCCAGCATTAATTTATCTCGTGTTCGGCATTCATCATTGCCACAGCACAGGAAGGGCCTGGCAGTCACTTGAAATACCTGACCAAGGAAGGCACTAGAAAAACAAACCTGGCTAGCAAGAGAAAACAAATAAGCAGCTGCTTGCATGAAAGGAGTCAAACGGATGCCCAGAAACTTTTGAGAAGCTCATGCGATCACGTGGACATTTTACAGTACTTGCCGTTACTCCCTTCTGCTCCGAACCCAAACCACCACCACCACATCTCCTCCTTTGCTTCACAGGCTAAGGAGAATTTCACAGGCCACCTGGAATGAATGCAGTGGCTCAGTGCAGTAGTCACAAGCAGCGAAGAACATGCTGCAGGCCCAGGAGTGTCCGCCACTTCCTCCTGTGTGCCGATCTTTTCCTCCTCTTCCTGTTTGGTGGCAACCTCGCCTGCCTTCCTGCGGTTCAGGCTTGACTAACGGGCCAAGGACAGTAATCAGGATCCCTGGGAGTGTTCCAAGCATCAGAGAGCCGAGACAAGGCTGCTGTTAAGAGGACCGAGGCACTGCAGCAAATGGGGTCAGACAGGAAGGATGGCCAATAGGCCATGCCAGTTAGTCCAAGGGGGAGCAGATGAGGCACCACAGCTGACAGGGCTCAGCAGGCCCTGCAGAAGCAGCCATCAGGACTCAGCCCACTGGGGAGGTGGCGTCCTGGAACAAGGAGGGCTGGAGCCAGACATGGTTTCCAGCAATGTTCCCACACTCCCAACAGCTGTTCTTTAGCAGCAGCAGCAGCAGCAGCTGTGGGAACCCTCCCAGCATCTAGCAACTTGTTCAGGGCTTCTGGAAAGAGACCCCTTTGTTTCCAAGGAGTCCGCTACTGTACTTCCCCTGGCCTCAAGGAGTCAGGCCTGCCTCTGCATTCTAGCCCACTCCTGGCTTTTTGGGGAGGGGTCACCCCTTTTCTGTGTTTGAAGTGGATCCTCCCTCCTCCTGCAGGGTAGTTCCTCGGTGGGTTATTAACAAAGGTCTAGACTCCTTCTAGCCCTGGCAAGTAGCAGCTGTGGAGGCTCTGGATCCTTCTCTGACAAGAACTCCTCCAGCAGGGCCATCACACACACCTGCCCACATCTCCCGCCTCAAAGCAGTTGGCCATTACCTCCTCCTCCTCCTCTCAATTTTATCCACAAGGCAGGTCAGGCTGAGAGCCAGTGACTTGCCCAAAGTCACCACAACTACGAGTAGTGGGGACTAGAAACCAGAGCTGCCAGATCCCCAGCCCAACACTCCAACCACTACACCACACCACACCGGCTCTCACGACCATAGTTGGCCAGCGTGTGTGCAACTGGGTTACTGACAGTCAGCTGCTTCACAAACGCTTGCGCAAAGGAGCACAAGAAGATCTCACGGAGTTCCCCGGGCATTTTTCCATGAGGAATTTCAGAGCCTGCTAGCTCATGCATTACTTTTCCTTCAGTTCAGAAAGCAATTCACCCGCTGGTCCTTGTCAGTGTGGCACCACCTAATGGCTGACACTTCCTCAGGAAGCTGCGATGGCAACTGGGGATGGAAAGCAGGAAAATACTTGCATTTCCCCATGTTGCTTGAGTCTGCTATGCCTACTAAGCATGTTTCTCCCCGCTTTCCTTTGTAGCAGATGGAAACGAAATGCTTATGAAATGCAGTTTTTCCTTGAAGCGTAAAAGGCTTTGCTGTGGCACTGGGCATTTTCTATGAGAGCTGTTAATGAGTGGCCGAGAGGAGCAGCCGATGTGGCGGGCTTTCACTGCACCGATCTCTGCACTGCAATAAAGCACCGACTAACATGTGGCCCATGTGTGAAATAAAAGAACTTCCTAGGAACTTGTGAACTAAACAAAATCGAACTGAGGAAGCCATAGCACCATTATTTTAGTAGTTGGTTTCGGTAGAAGTACGCTACATAACGGTATAGAGAGTACTGAAAAGCAACACTCTGCAGTGGAACTTGCCTGTTCAGACTGAAGGCACGCCTACTTAGAAATGGATGCGTTTAGCCAGAAAGTAGGTGGGAGACTGATTTTTAAAGAGGGAGAAACTGCAGGAGTGAGTTGCAGAAGAGCTGAAGTGTTGATGTAACAGAATTCCTGGCAACAGAACAAAGTGCACCGCATTCTGGCCAACCCAGGAGCGGCGGCGGCAGATGGGGTGATTAGTGGCAAAAGGGAATGCTCAGAGGAGGCCGATCTCAAGGCAGGCACCAGCTCATATGCGAGACTGGCTTTGGGGGCCGGGACTTCCGGGCCAGCCGGCCGGCCCTCGCCAACATCCAGGTAAATCACCGTGCCCCTTCCATCCGGCTTTGGCGTCTATCGACGAGGGAATGGCAGACCTAACACGAAGGGAGAATGGTTGGGGTACCTTTTCTGCCACCGCTCCTTGGAAGGGACTAGCACAAATGCTTCAGAGCAGTGGTTTGCACCTGCACCAGGCCATGGGAGATCTTCTGTTGGTCTGCAGGGGAGCTGCATCCCGTTCAGAGTGGATTGGTGTGGGGGCTGGCTGTGCTCCACCACCTCTTCCTCAGTTGGCATCGTGTTCGCAGGGTGCAGCAGTGCCATGCGGGGGAGGCCGGGAGGGGAGAGACGACTGGGCGGGAGCCGGCTGGGGGCCATGCTGCACCCATTTTGGAATTTTGTTCTTTTGTTGGCATTTTTTCTTGCTTGGTTTCTAGTTGTTCAGGAGAATTTTCTCTTTTTTCTTTTAGTATGTGTTTGGAAACTAATACACAGGATACTGTATTATGTGTACGGTGTTTTTTGTTTCTGCCTCTGTGGTCCCCAAGGTGGTTTTCCTGTTTCGCTGGGTCCCAGTTGTGGAAAGGTTGAAAACCACTGCTTTAGAGGACATTCTGTGTGGCTGCCCTTTCCAGGAGTCTCTCCCTGCCTCCCAGAACCAAACAGAACATGACTTTAGGGTCATGGAGGGACTACCATGTTCAGCACCTCCCCATAAAAGTTTGAATCATCCCCACCCATATCTGTGCAGCTTAATTCCACGAGAGTCATTGTAACGTGACTTCATGTTCAGAGAACTTCTCGAAGATACTGCATAAAATGTGTCCATTGTTCAGCATTAATTATGTTTACCTTCCGTGTGCCTTACGTGCTTGAGCAAGGTAGAATGATTGATGTCTTTTACCAGAATCTAGTAAGTATTTTCTACCTTGTATCAGCTTGTATTTTAAAAGCAACAGCAACGGTGGTTGCCATTTTAGAATCAGACCTGCAACAAATTATTGCCTTGCAGGCAACAACTTCCTTGCAACGTTAATGCAAAAAGACTCCTGCTTTGCTTGTTATATAACAAACAAAAATACGTTTGTTATATAACAAATACATAGTGAATATACACTGGGCGAGTTCGCATGCCTTGCTACAGCTTCCTAAGAATAAGCCACAGTGGGTGGGTGGTTTGTCTCCTACTCCTGACAGACAGACAGGCACTCCGCACTTGCCATGGCTTCTGCCCACGGTTCCCAGCCTACATCACAGGTGCTCCTGAAGCAAAACACTTGGTTTCCTATGTCAGCATCTCTTCTGCAATTGATCCACTGTGGCTGCCAGGTCACGAGGGACATTCTCCCTCCACTGCGCCAGATTACCAAATGCCCTTATCAATGTGGTTAACACAATTTCAGTTTTAAAAATATATACATGCAGTGCCTTGTGCACGTGTTCAGAAGTGTAAGATCACCGCTCTGCTATTTAGCTCAGTTTATCACTCTCCCCCTCTTGTCAACGCCCCTCCCAATTTCTTCTTGCACTTCAGTGCTTGCCTTCTTTAAGGATGCTTTCCACACAACCAGAGTAATGCCATCTGCCCCCAAAGCTCTTCTCCTGCAGCCACCAGCTGCTTTCAGCGCCCCTCCTTTTGTGCTTGCCACTTCTCTCAAATAGCCTCTGCTGTTAGCGGTCAGATATATACAGGCTATAGAGTGATGACAGGAGTAGTATATGAATCCAACTTTCAAGGCACAGCAATGAGTGAGGTAGGTCAGCACGTATGTGAAAATTTCAAGGCAGACTGGGAAGTGAGGAGAATCTTTCAAGGCAGGCATTTTTCAAGGAAATGTATGCTTCAAGGCAAGTGGGACTGCTAAAAATGCCAATTTCAAGACAGAAAAGTGGAGACAAAAATTATGCAAATTTCATAGTAGTGGCCTTTCAAATGAGAACAGTTGTGGAAGATCACAATAAATACATACATTCAAAGACTGAAAACTTATTTGGGACATTTTCTGGTGCCCTTTCTTCTCAATTCTTATGGGATGGAAGGCACTGAGGAAGAGGATGGAAGTGGAACTAGCTAGATCATAAGGAGAGGCAGAGATTTTCGCTAACCCTGGTGGATGGGTTAGCAAAAATTCATACGACCCACAAAGAAGTTGCCCCAAAGGATTTCTGTGTTGGGACAAGCTACCCTAAACAATGCAAGAACCACCCATGGATTCTCAGGATTCTTGTGAAAAATAGCCCACAATGAAAAGAATGCTTCTGATTCGGACATTACAAGCTGCCTTGAAACAGTCCACAGCAAGATGCCTTATTTCATGTGAATCAAGTCAATATATAAATCACACACACACACACGTGCACACACAAATGAATTGTATAAATAAAGGAAGTGCTTACCTGCAAAAACTCATTGAGTTCAACCTGCCCATTTTTGTTCAAATCCACTTCATTCAAAATATCATGGAGCGCACTCTCATTAATTTGAAGGTTGATGCTCTGTGAAGTATATGGGGGCAAAAACCGACATGTCTGGATTAACAACACACTATTAATATCATGCCAGGCAATTTAGAGAAGAATATAAGTAAAATGTTACCTCTAACACACGCTGCACATCCAATATGGTAATAAAACCTTTTCCTTCTTTATCAAACATGTGGAATCTCTTTTTATATCTGAAAGATTGGATTACTCATGAAAAAGCTGCACACTGACAAATGGCAAGAGGGGCTTTAAGCAGGGATTTTTAACATCAGCCCCCACCCCAAGCTGTGAAGTGTTCTTTCCCTTATACTCACAAGCTTATTGCAATCCCTGCAGAGTATCCAAAAACTTGACCTCAGGCAGTACAAGCTTATTGCTACCTACAGAAAACTATGTTCCTCTTTATCTCCCAGCTTTCCCTGTTTAAATGCTATTTGGTCTCCCTTTCCCCATGCAAGGAGTCCGTAGTTTGGGGAAGAAACCACTGCTCGGTGGTGAGCACACCCTTTACACCTCGGGTGAGTAACTTCTGGCCCTCCAGAGGTTTGGGTGTGTGACTTCCCACCTCATACACCAGCTAGGGCTGTTCGGAGCTGTAGGCCAAAACAGCTGGAGAAGCACAAGTCCCCAACCCCTTGCATCAAATGCTAGTCCTAATGACAGTAGGGCCAATGAAGCGAATGGCCCAAAAGTTAGACTACACATTGCATGGCATGCCAGGTTCAACCCCTGTGTCTCTACTTAAGCCTTTGAGGAAGCAGGAACTGGAAATATTTTTTGCCTAAAGCAGGTATGTAGCTCTGCAAATGCCGCTGGGTGACAATGCTGAATACCCCTAATCACTGGCCGTGTTTGCTGGAGATGATGGAAGACCAGCATTATGTTGCAAGAGCCCTGCTCCAGTCAGGGACTAGTACAACAGATGGAGTGGTCATCTGAGGACAGGAAGCTTCCTTTGGCGATCTCATCCACCGTGGGCCAGGCTAGAGTTGCCATTCTCCATGCCCTATCAAGGAGCAGGGTAGCCATCAATCCAATTGTCCATGGATGTCCCAACAAGACAGAAAGGGCAGCAAAATGTAACTGAGAGAGCACCTGCTGTTACAAACCAGCTTGCTGGGGGGCTGAGGCCATTCTTTTTATGTTCTCCCCCATGCCCGTTGCTCACATGTGATATCCTGCCTCCGGAGAGTTGCAAGGACGAGTTTGCATGAAATGCTTACCTCTCGATATCAGCTGGGGACAAAGTGATTTCACTACGGTCGGTGAGTTGCTCTGACCGTGCCTTGTAGCCCATTTCGTAGTAGAGGAACTTCTTCGCCTCTGCCATCTCCTCCTAAACAGGGAAAGCAGCACACTGCCTCAGCTCTAGGGTAACAGCAAATATTTACATTCTGAATTTCTTCTTTGCCGTAATGTTTTACTGGCTCCTTTCACTTAATTATAATTGCTGGTCCTTAGAGGAATATCAGCGGTTGATGACCAAAAAGTGCTTAAAGGTGAACAAGGTAATTAAGATTAGGCAGCATTTCATGCTTCAGCTAGATCACTGGTTCGGTTGTACAAGTGTTGATTATCAAGCGATAATTACTACAGGAGACGTGCAATGTAAAAGATTTTTAGGGCTGTATATGCCCTCAATCCACACAGGCAACTCACAGCAATGTCAGGGAGACTTGTGCTTGCAGGCAAAAGGGCTCAGAGATGGCCTTTAAATTTAACGCTGGCATTGTACAGCTATGACAAATACCCTAAGCAGCGAGGCACTGCCTTGACTGCATCCAATTTTTGAGGCTGTTCTTGATTGCTCTCTTCAGGCAGCAAGACAATGATGCAGCCCAGGGCACAGGCTCTTGAAATCCCCTCTTCTCTTCCAAAACTTTCTTTTTGCCATTTCCCATTCTGGTCCAGTGTGTGTGTTATGGGAAGGCTGCCTACAGTGGCTAGTCCCAGTGGTAGGGCAGGAAGGGGTAACTATGGCACTTGACACATAAATTGGGATTGCTGATTTTGTATCTCTTCATGGCTTGAGTGGACTGAGGGCACATGGATGGTCACAAGGTATGGATCCACATGCAGATGCTGGCGGAAAGAGGGACCAGTCACTCTAGGGAAGCTCTTTACATCAGCACCCTGAGAGCAAATATAATGCACACCCTGGGCTGCAGAACTGTTCTCTGTATACGTAGATCTGTCCATCTCTGTCTGACTAGACAGATTCTACCTTTCCTCCAAGGAGATCAAAGCAGCATAAATGATTCTCTGATCCCTTCATTTTATTTCCAGAGCAGCCCCTTGTGAGGTAGGTTAGCCTGAGCTAATGACTACCCCAAGACCACTCACTGAGTGTTACTGCTGACAACAGATTTGACAAATTTTGCCAGCCCTTTTCTCACACACCAGTCATTTCACCACTACACTGGTGCCTGCCAGCGGTTTTGGACTACAACTTCCATCATTCCTAGGCAGTAAGGCCAACAGCCAGGGATTAGGGAAGCAGTAGCCCAAAGCATCTGAGGGCCCTCAGGGATTGGTCTCCTTCTGCCAGCTGGACAGAACCTCTGATGGATCAGAGCTCTCCTTCCCCTCTGCAGCCTCCCCTCCATCAATTCTAGAGTATTGGGGGATCCTCTAGGGTAGATTTTGAACAAACCATGGGAGGGATGAGCTGCTGGGGGCAGAACAGAATGAGAAAATCTCCTCACATGAGGCTTGCAGTCAATCCCAGGTTGAGAAAACTTGTTGCCTCAAACAGAGGTGCATGAGAAATGCTTTCCAGCTTGTTTTGATCAAGATTTACCTATTTTGCATCTTCTGAATGGAACATGATTTTGGATGCGATCTGTGACCAAAGCCCATACATTTACAAGTTTACACTGTGATTTGTGAACCCAAAACAATGCATTCAGCTCCATGCATCTGAAAAATGCATGTGCAAAAATGTACATTTTTGAAAAATGCTTGTAAATACACTTTAATCAATGGCAGAAGAATGCATACCTTTCAAAGAACATACAGAACTGATGCATGCACCTGGAAATGTGCACAAAAATTCACATGGATTTTCATGCAAAATAAAAAACATAAAGTTCACTATCTCATATGCAGAACAAGTTGAGTCAGAACAAGTTTTGCGATAGGATCTGGTGAGCTCATGTGCACGGATTCATGCATCCCCAGTTTGAAGCCCTCTGTCACTGTAACCGGGGACACACTTTGCCCACCCCACAGAGGCCACTTCCCTTTCAGGAAAACACCTCATCAACTCATGCCATGGCGCATGGGATCCCCCACTCCCTCGCACCTTCTTCTTCTGTTCACTCCATTTCAGTTTCTTTCCCATGATCTCAATTATCCTTGGTAAGGCTTCATCTGCAGCTTGCACATTCAGGAAAGCCAACCGTGTGCGCCGGGCAATCATGTCCACTGCAGTGCAAGCATATTCTTGGATTGCATACTCAATCTGCAGCAGTTGAAACAGGGAAAGGTCAAAGAGCCATTCTGACTGGAGGCTCTGGTACAGAACAAAGACGCCAACACTACAGGAAAGCATGCGCCGTTAGTAACGACGATGACTCAAGCCGGAGCTGCCTGCCATCCACCCCTTCCCAGGCATATTGTCTGGGCCACTTATCCAAGCCTTCATTGCAGAAGTCCCTCCGCCTACTTTTGTTTCCTTGGATTACAAAGAGATATATTTGGAATTACCCCTGAGGAAACACATTTTATCTTGAAATCCAAGTCATATTTGATGCTCTATTCTCTGGGAAAAGGTAAGATGTCCAAACTTCTGACACTGACAATAATTTACACCTCACCAGGTATACTGGGCTCACTGCTACACCCTTGAACCTATTCTTCTGAGTCTTCCCAGGATCCCATTGGTTTGCCAGCTTTCCCATGGCCACTGCAGCTGTGCCTTTTAAGCAGCTTGATGGCCAACATTAGCTGCTCATGTCTGCACATTTCACTGCGATCTAAAGCTTTCCTGTTGGCTTTTGCACAGGCTGCTATTAAAGGCTCAAGAGCAGGACAAGCCATTGCTTCTGGTCACCTGGCATCTACTTCCTACATGCCTCCTTTTGCCTGCGTGGGAGGCACACCCAGAAGTGCACTCTTCCTTTTGCTGCTGCTTCCCCTGCCTCCCAGTTCCTACAGATTCCTCCTCGTAAGATGCTAAGGCAGCCTTGTCCCACTTTGTGTCCTGTGAGCAGAGATTAGGAGAATGGAGTCATGTTAGGAAGAACAAGCATCAGTGGTTCTTTAAGATGTTCAAAGTGCTTCAGCAGCAACCTTTGCCACAGGGTGTTGAACTTCTTTCAGCCAAAGAGCCAAATTCCATTTCTGAGATGCTCTCAGAGTATACTCTCCACTGATGGGTGAGGCTGCAGGCAAAAGGAGGCTGGGGCCAAAAATACAGGAGTAACTGAGCTGAATGCACTTACTGCTTCAGCCTTAGGAGAGAAATGGCAACCTTTCAAAACGGGAAAAAAGATGGTGCGAAAGCAAGGACACCACCAAACAACTGGCAGCTGGGGAAGGGTGCACAGTTGCATGGGAGGAGAAGAAGCTACCAACTCCTACGTCAGTGGGGCTCCTTACCCGTTGCAGCTTTTATTCTGAGGTTTCCAAGAGCCATCCATGGCATTGATTCCCCAAATCAGTTTGCCACCATGAATGGCTCCTAGAAAGCTCAGAATAAAAGTCACAATGGATGAGGCGGCTCCTTCAACCATAGGAGACATCCACCTCCTCTGCACATGAGGAACTACTCAGAGCTGGACTGGGAGTCCAAGCAGGGCAGAGTTGCCTTGCAGGGATGAGGTTCAATGCCCCTGCTTTACGGCACCTCTGTAAGGTGAACTACTGTCTGATGATACATCTGAGCCTGAGAGACAGCACACCACGCTGGCACACTGAGCTGCTGAGGTTATCCTGAGCGAGGCCTTGCGCAGGCACAGAAGCTCGTATGTGGGATGCACAGAGATCTCAAAGGTGAAGGTGAAATTTCAACCTGGGGGGAACTCGGATTGTTTTGTCCTATATGCAATCTCAGTTACCAGCTAATATGAGCTAGCTTCACACTGCATTTAAATCCCACCTTTCTTCCTCTTGCAAGGAAAGCAGCTTACAACGTTTTCCTTCTCTCCATGTCATCCTCAAAATAAGAACCCAGTGAGGAAGGTTATGGTGAGAGACAGTGACTAGCTCAGTGTCACCCAGTGCAGTTTCATGGCTGAGTGGGGACTAGAACCCAGATCTTCTAAGTCCCGTACAACACTCTAAACACTAAGCCAAGGCAGGGTAAGCTAAGCTACAGGACCTTCTACTGCAAGAAACAAAACACTCAGAAGCAACAAAACACAAGGAAGTGATGGCGGGGAGGGAGCCAGCAGGAGACTCCAAGAGCTTCACAGCCATACCTCAGACTCGATGTATGGAAACTCCGACACAAGGCGTTTTCCAACGATAGGCCACCTCTTTCCAGTCACCTGGGCTAACTTTGCCACTTCAAAAGCCTTGTCACCGAATGTGCTCGCCAAATGTTGCGCCACCTGTGAAACTGAGAGCACATTAGGCGCCTGGCCCCTTCTGGAAGACAGGTCCGTTTGGGCGCAAGCCACTCACACCTGTTCTGCTGCTGCCCGCAGCTCATCAGCTGAAAAGGGCAGCTGAGGCGGATGTGCATGGGGGACAACGCCTCACGCCGGGAATGCTTAGGCCGGCACTATTGGCACGTATCCATGGAACAGGGCCTAACAGTGAGCCAGCTTTCTGCCACTGCAGTCGCATTGGGAGGATACATTCGTTGGGGATGGGGAAGCCAAAGGCTTAGACCATCATGGTTAAGGCACAGTGCATGTGCGCCCAGACTCTTATCAGTCAAGCATATAAAGTAGTTGAAATTATGACATGCGGCCTGTGAGTAAGAAAAAGGTGCCAAAAAGATTAGGACTCCAGCTAAACAAAAATCACCATCTAATAATATGACTGACAACCCTCTGATATAGTTTATTTTTAATGCCAATCCTAACAAAGAACCATCACCTATGCTGAAAACCCTGGGGTTCAATCCCTGGGGAAAAATCAGATAAATAGAGAGAGGGAAAGGACAGGGTGCTATTTCATTGGAGCTTCCCTGACAGGCCAGCAGCTCAGGGCATTTACTACACCTCCCCCCACCCCCGCTGTCCCCAGTCTCCTCTTCTGCCAGTCCAAAGCTCCAGTGCAGTCGAAATCACAGCACTCTGCTCACACAGCGTGCTTCTTCCTGACTGGGGTGGATTCCTACGGCCTACTCTGCCTAGAAGAGACCTTCCATCATCAAGAGGGGCCTTTAGAAGAAAGCAGAGCAACCGAAGGGTGGAGGGAAAGGTTCAAGGACCCAAGCTGTTCTATTGATGGATTATGCTCACCTCGCTTTCAAGTCCATAATCTTGAACCAGTCGAATATAAAGGGTAGGGCTCCATCCCTCTGCACCCTGAAGGGCAAGCCCTACGGTCTTACAGGGACCCGCATGAAGGCCATGAGCCTGTACAGCAGCATCAATGGTATCCTGTGCCATGGAGCGGTAGGTTGTCCATTTTCCACCTGTAAGCATGAAGATTTTTTGACCTTGTAGATACCCTCAGTCATGCTGAATATACTGAAGAATGCTTTTCTTTTCATTTTAAAACCAGAACAAAATCAACTCCTTAATACTCCTTAAAACATTAGTCCCATCACAGGAATACCCAACTTATTTGGGGGGGGGGGTCAGTGCACACACTTGAAATTTTGAGGAGGCAGCTGTGAGCATTCTGACAAGATGACTCCCATGGCTCAATCAAACAATGGCTGCCATGGTAGTTGGTCACAAAACCAGAAGGGAAACTGTTGAACCTACAACAAAAGCACCAAAGAACATGGCAGAGGTAGGATATGAGCTCTCAAAACACAAAGCACTGTTTTCAAGCCAAATAAGGATGGAGCTAGAACACCAAGAAGACCCTTAATGAAAAAAAAACAAAAAAACCGGGGGGGGGGGAGTCTGAATGGCCTCAAGAACTGTCCACAGGAACACTGTTGACAATGGGAACCAGTTGAGACTCAGTCTATCATTTCAGCATTGAGAACTTCAGCTGAGCTATCTGGTGGGCTTCCCTCAAAAGTAGGTGCTACAACATTAGAGCTTTCCAAATGGGGACAAAATTGTAATGACATCACAAGAGCGGAAGAGAGGCTAGGGGTGAAATTCCGGTACCTGCTATGGTGACAAGGCCACTGTCGCTGACATGCACCACATGATTCCGAGATATGGACTGGGTGTCCTTAGAATTGGGGTCTGTTACAAGCGGACGAATCCCACTCCACGCGGCGAGAACATCTCCTCTTCTCACTTCAGTGTGAAAGTACAAAAGAAAGAAATTCCATCAGAAATGCCTTCTCATGAATTGCTGAAAAATAAAATATGCCTTCAGTGATATACAAACAAGGAAAAGTGCTCCATACTTCCTCAAATGCCATCTTGAAGAAAAGGCAGAGGGAAAAAGAGAGGCAATTGCTTCTTTGATTTTAAAAATCCCTAATGCTTAAGCAGCGTATCAGGAAACCGCATGAGGAAACAATATTGTCACAAAACCGGGGGGGGGGGGGATGAGAGAGAGAGAATGTTATCATTTTTAGATAAGTGAGATACCAAAAAATACTATGAAACCTCTTGATTGTTAATGGGGTTGAAATCCCAGGCTTTCAATGCATTTTCATACCACATTGGCCTAGTACTTTCACACCATTAGTTATTAGATAAACCTCTGGGTCTACCACTTGCTAGAAAATGGCAGGATTTCATAGGAAAGTAATGAGCGGTCCATCTTCCGAGGTCAGATGCATCCAGCAACTCCTTCCTAATGTAGCAAGGACCTTCATAGTTGGGGACTGAGGACCAGTTCACATAATCCAGATTCTCATTTTTAAGCTCACATTGCAGGAACATGAGGCTTCACTGCTAGCCAGGCCAACCTGCAATTTTGCACAATACCACAAATTCTGCTGCTGCATAAAATCACTGTACGTGATATATGCAACTGGATGAGCCACTTGTCATAAGCGTAAAACCTTCTGGATTTGGCAAGTCACACAGGTACTTGAGTACTGTGTGATCAGGACTCAAGTTGCTCAAGTTTTTCTCTGGCCAAGTCTTCGTGGGAAGGGATATTGTACTCAGGCAGGGCTGGAGGCATTTTGCAGGAGACAGAATTCGTCAGTGGCTCTTTGCAGTAGGGGAGAGGTCAAGGAATTTGAAATTTCTTCCTTCTCACACTGAAATCCTCTGTTCAGACTTTTTTTTTTAAGTACTCAGTTTACCAAGTTTTCTTTGGACTACCTGAAGAGATCAAGGAAATGACATTGTGGACAAAACCAACGCATTTCATTTTTCACTTGTCATCAAGATAGAATGAAGAGTCTCCCATCAGTGAGTTCTATCTAGTGTTTCTCCTGAAAGCACTCTGTAGCCTTTCCTTTCTTGAAGGATCTGCAATTACCTCTGTTAGCCAGATGCAATGCAATGCACTTTTCCTATATTCTACCCATGCATAGAAAGAGGAATGTAAAAGGAAGTAAAAGGGAAGGCAATTAGAAGAAGGGCCTTCTCAGTAGATGCCCCCCAACCTTTGGAATGGCCATCATAGAGAGGTCTACCTGGTACCATCACTAATTTCATTTTGGGGCCAGAAAAAAACTGTCCTGATTTTTCCAGCGGATTACAAGAGCTCACTCTACTACCAAGAGTTTTTCATTCTTTCTTCCCCCATCCCTCCTGCAACTTGGAAAGGTAATGTTCGCCTGTATTTTACTGTTGTTCACCACCTGGGCAAGCCCTGTTGGGTTATTCAGCGGCCTATAAATTTAAAAATAATTAAATAAATAAATATGCAAACAGAAAAAAGTCCCACCACTCCCAGCGTGCCTCAGACAGCCCACGTTTGCTGAACATCCCCCCTTGCTGCCTGTCTTTTGCCTGATTCCCATTTGCTGCTTACTCTGCACAGCAGGGAGACTTGTACGAACTGAGCAATGATCGAACAGAAGGCTTGCATAAACCTCCCCAAATTTCCCCCGTACACTAAAGTGCAGCTGATCAATTTACTGAGGAGAGCCATGCAAATCAAACTAGTAACAGGATGAATGAGAACACACACTAGACAATGAGTACATATTTTCAGCAGATCTGTGCAGGCTTCCATGCTTTACCATCAAAAACATAACTCTCATACATCCCTATTTAGCCAGCCCAAGGTTAAGCTACCATCAGTTCTTCAGTTAACAATTAACACACAGTGCCCAGGTCCACATATCACATGACAACCTCTGTTCAGGCTGATGGGAGGCTGCACATGTCAGTCATAAGCAACTTGCATGCACCATGGCAACCTGGATCAATTAATCCATAAGTTACCACACTTCTGTGCAGGTGGAGTTCAAGCTATCCTATGGAATGCCCAAACTCATCCGCAGTAGCACCACTGTGACAAGTGTCATGGCCTGTTCTTGCACAAGAGTCATGACAATGCCACCTTTCAAAGCAAAATCACATTCTTTTTTTTTTTAATTGAACGAAGGTATTTGCAACAAGATCACCCACAAAACCCTTTCAAAATAAAACGAACATAAAGAGACTACTTCCTTATTTGTATCTTCCTTTTCCACCCACAAAATAAATATTTTACTATGCAAGTCCCTTAAATGCAAGCACAATTGAGGAAGCCTGTAAATGAATTTCAAGTCCTTAATGGACAAGAGCCATCTTATTGAAAGAGGGGTGTGTGCGTGCGCGTGCACAAACGTGTGGGTGTGTGTGTGGGGGGGGACTTTTTTGTTCTGTTTTGTTTTAAAGATACAGCTTTCACAGGAGTGTTAACAGAAAAATCAATAATGCTTTGTAAAAATATCCTGAAAGAACAGAGTGGAAATCTGAGAAATCAATGTTGTTCTGCCAGTATGTTTAACCCACCAAAATGAAGTGCTAATCACAGAAATAAGATACCATATTACATTTATAAATTAATGAAACTAGAAAAAGCAGCATGTGTGACACTATAATTAAACAGCTGGAACACATCCAAGCCTGTGTAAGTTGATAACCCTGCCACTGTCTTTGGCAGCAAAAAGGCAGGTCTGCAGTGAGTTGATACGGGCAGCACAATGGTTAATTCTCTAACAGACAATCTATAAACACGACTAATTACACATGTGGAAAACAGCATGCAGCCCAGGTGGGTTACTTTCAAAAACATTAAATGTGCAAGAAAACTACTTTTGCAGAACTGGCCTGCAAAGAAGGGTGTCTTAATCAATTCTCCAAGCCGTAGCTTAGAGGAACCAACCACCTTGCCTGACAAACCACAGCTCTTTTATTAATTTCTGCACGAGGGACCTAATGATAGGGGTTTTTTTCTTCTCCTGTAGACCATTTTTCTTTAATGGCTACAACAATAACAGAACTATCAATTACCCATTTCAAGGAAGAACAAACAAGCAATCTAGAATTTTCAGTCTGTGAAGGGGAGGTTTCCATATTATGAATATTCAGCTTCTGTCAACACCTATAAAGGGCAACGCGGAGTTCATGCCTCTGTACAGAATCATTTTAAAGGGCCTGCATGATTCAGGCAGCTGGCAATTCGAACTGAAGCTTTTTATTTCTCTCAATACTCAGATCGGACTCTGGCTAGACCATCACAAGACTCCTTCAACGGCTTCTGTTAAAGAAACTGACAGTGTGCCATCACTGGGGACAGGGGGAGCTTCTTATGTTCCTATGAGCAGCAGCAATGCTGAATTTATTTATTCAGAGTAATAGGTTATGTTGGAGGAAATTCCTGTGTCTGGACTAACACACAGGCTACTGTTCTGTCCAGCAGCAATCATTGTCTCCCACCAAAGGAAAGCTTGCTGGCTGTGACTGGTGACCAACAAGTTTCATTTCTCTATCCTTCGAAGTCCTTCTGGCCACATTCCTTTTCCTTTGTTGGAACACCATGAAACAACTTTAGGGAAGTTGTTTTAATGGGGGGGGGAGGCTTTTTTTAAGAGTAAAGATGAAAAAGGGGGGGAAACCTACCCTCAGCCACTTTGTTTGCAGAGAAAGTTGAACTGTCTGTCCTGAAATGCTCAGAATATTCCCACACCCCCATCCCAGCCGCTAGGAAATTTTCCCTACCCCCATCCCACAGCCCCTGCTCACATCCTTTTGAGAAAGGCTGAATTCAGTGCTTGCTGAATTACTGGCCAAGCCTTGCTTCTGGACAGACATGCCAATGCAGCTTTTTCTGGATCACTGAAGCTTCCCTCAATCATACAAAAACCAACGCCATATATCAGTCTGAACGAGTGACGGTGGAGAACCTCTTTCACTGTGAGGGCTACATTCAAAGGTGAAGAAGCTCTCAAGACCCATTCCAGAGATGGGCACAGCCCAAACCACCAAAATGTCAGCATATTTTGGCTTAAAGATCTTACTGCCACTGAGTAAGCTTGTCCATTTTTTGGAAAACGAGAAATATTTTATTTATTTACATCAAATTCAGCAAACCCTCCCAAAATAGAACAGGTGGGGGAAATGGGGTGGGTCTTGGGAAGACAGAGTGGCCTTCTGGGGGATCCTAAAGAGCTGTGATTCGACATTCAATGGAGTCCAGATCTGGTCCATGGGCCTCAGGTTTCCCAACTCCTGGCCTTAGTGGAAGGAAGATGTCCTACAAGTCAGAAGCATTCCTGCTACAGCAACCAATATTACTAACAATTACCTTCTACATCACAACTAAGATAGTTGCGCACTTCCGTCAAAATGAAGTTGATATCTTCTTCTGTCGGAATGGGGTGTGGTGTCACTTCGGTTGCAGTATCAGTGGTACCAGCAATAGTCATCTTTTGCCACGGCAAGAAGAAAATCACTCTTCCATCACTGGTGGCTGGGTCAAGAAGGCCCATATTGTCAGGGCTGGAACAGACCAAGATTTCACTTTTACTCCCAGCCAACTTAAAACATTCATTTTAAAAAATAAGGTGCCTTCAGCATTTTGAAATCATTGCTGGCTCAAGATGCAACATTCATTGCCACCTGCTATATTAGAAAGAGAGGAACACATCTTTGGAAGTCCGGGCTCCAACCCTGGATCACTCTGTCTATTCAAGGGGCCAGGTGAGGCTGGGAGGAGGACCCAGCTCTTGCAACCTCTTGGTCCTCTCTTTCAACCACGTTTTTCTCTCAGTCTGTCTGGCTGACTTACCTTTGTGTGGACAGCAACAGAATGGCCTTCGGAGCGGGTGAAACTTGTGGATGTAGGCCACTGCTCCCACCCCTGCACCCCAACTGCTTCTCTCACCCTCCAGTCTTTTCCAGGGATTCAAGGGCATCCTTGGAAGAGACATCTCTAATGGTGCTTCTCGAGGAAGTGGGGAGAAGAAGTGTCTGCATGCAGATCCCCCTCCCCATGCTGCAAGCTGGCAGCTGGCATCCTTGCCATTGTCACCTATCCTGCCCAATAACCAAATGTTCTCAAGACGCACTAACTGGAAATCTGGCTTGAGAAAACTCGAGCAGGCTCTGCTCTGGCTGCCCTGTCTGATTTAACTGCAATAGCAGCAGAGTCCTGGGATTTTTATCCTGGAAGTGTCCAGCACTTCATCTAGCACTTAGCCTCAATCTGGTCTAAGACATCCATGGAGCCAGTGTGCAATAGGACCTGAAAACCCCTAAAGAACTGCACCGGACAGCAAAGAAAGGATTACACAGAGGCAGTGGGTGGTTTTCCCCCTTCTTTTTAGCCACCTTCAATGCTCCCACATGTATCTGATGATAAGCGTGTAACAGGATTCGTCTGCATCCACTAGTTTTTTCCCCATCTGCTCTGAAGCCATCCCGTTTTGTTTCACTGCTCTCAGCTCTGCTACAGCGATGGCACTCAGGAGCAATGGTGTCAACTGCCCAGCTAACTTCCGTATTCGAGAGACTGACCTGGGATTCAACAGGACCATGAGCCGTATCAAGTGAACCAGCCCCAAGAGCCCTCTAGATACCATTTAGATCCAGGGCAGACCATTTTAATAGGTCTCTCACCCCACAGAGGGAAGAAGTCACAATTGATATAAATCTCAGCAGGCAGTGATCTGACCATGACAAACGAACTGACTCAAAGTCTTCCACGTTCAGGTCACTCTCTCCATGCCTGGCTGAAAGAACCAAATCCAGAGCATGCCTTGCTACATGCACTGGGCCAATGACATGCCAAAACAATCCCACGGTTGTTCGGGAGCCAATGAAATCCTGAGCTGCCCCAGCTAAGGTACCCCCAGTACAGATGTTTCCTCTCCCTGAGGACCAAGCACTGCAACTCAGGCAGCCTTTTTGTTAGCTCAGTGGGCAGGCTGTTGGGCTGCAGGGTGGGTGGTACCCCAGCAGCATCTCGATCTATCCCACTGGCCCACACAAGAAGCAAACACTCTGGATTAGGAGTCAGAGGGACAAAGAGCCTGGAGAGACAGAATTGCTACCGACTGTGGCAACTTCCCCTCCCTGGCCCTCCAGTCTATGCTTGTGCTGCACGAAGTACCCCAAAGGGTACAGCTTAGAGACTACCTGTCTCCGTCCTGTTCATCCTACCCAGTTCTCAGTTTTACATGCCAGGTCAGCTGTTTCTGACATTATTAAGTCAACACCGAGGGAAGTCTTACTGCACATCAATCTGGCACTGAAAAGCAGCACCCAGAGGCCCGAGGGAAGGCAGACAGGGCTACATTTTCATCCACAGTTCAACTGATGTTGCTTTTAGATTGCTGGCCTTAGCCATGCTTGCAGTTCTACCTCTTTGGAGGTGTAAAAACAGAGGCCTGATTCAAATACGTATTTGTTGCAGGCAGAACCTGTGGGCTGCATCCTGCCTGCAGCCTCAGAGGTGGGAAGCTGTAGTATCCAATGGTTGCTCAGACCAGCCTCTGTCCAGCTCATACATTCATGTTCAACTGGGGGGAAACACGTGTTTTGTACATGAATGTGGACATGCGTTTTCTTTTTTTTCGGCACAGATATTATCTTGGTGAAGGAAAAAAATCATGCATGAAACACCCTTTAGGGAGATGACGACAATTGCTTCCACTTGAAGCCTAAGTCCTAACTAAGAAGAATGTGAGATGATATTTATATACAGCTTAAGGATACATTTGGAGAAGTACACCTTAAAAAGTGGGTGTCAACATAGACTTGTGCAAGGTAAACTAAGGCAGACAAGTAATTACTTTTCAAAATGAAATCACTATTGATTTAGAGAGGCAGGAAAACTTAGAAATTTAATATACAGACTTAAACTATTCAAAAAAACTTTGACACATTTTCAAATGAGGTTTCTAAATTGGGTTAAAATAAGCAACTACAGAGGGGCTGAGTATATTCATTGCAGGGATTGCTGGGAGATCATCCGCATTCATTTTAATGTCACTGAATCATCAGAGTAACTAAAATGGGAAAGAGGGAAACTCTCAGACCTCACTGCCTTGCCCAGATCTGCCATATCTTCTTTTAAGAATTAAGGAGTCTAAGAGTAGTAAGTTCTACCATAACACCAGGATGAGATTCTGCAACATAATTATCTTAGCACATTATCGAGTGCTTTAGAGCTTTCAAAGAGCTGCACGTGCATCACCACTGAACAACCTGTAAGCTAGCTCACTTTTATTCTTTCCATGTTGCAGATGAAGAGAGGGCAGAGGTGGAGAGTGGCTTATTGATGAAGGTCACCTGCTGGACTTCTAGTAAAGGTGAGATCTGACCCATCTCTTAGCCGTTGTACCACCCTAGGACTCAATGCAGGATGCACACCTGATTCACTGCTATATCATAAGCAGAGGTGTAGGGAGGCAGGGCAGAGTCCAGTTCCATTGCCTGCCTGCAGCCTACCTCTCTCTTTGCCTTCCATCCATACTCCCCTCCCCCCATTCTCAGGCTACTTTCATCTTAAAAGCAGCTCCCCATCTGCCTTTTAAGACGACTGTTACTCAGAAGTCCACTAGCGGTAATTATTTGTGCAGCTCACACTGACCAGCCAGATCTGCATGTTTCCTTCATCTGGTTTTGAATTCCACCAGGTGCTGGCACAGGAATCCTAGGGGAAGGGCAGAGAGGAACAACAGAGCATGGGACTGGCCAGCAGAAGAGACACACCCCGTATGTGGCAGGATTCCAGGACTGAATGGAAAAAAAGATTCCACCCCAAACATGGCATCGGTGGCTGGTCAGCAGTGTGACAGGTGGGGCAGAGGGTAAGCACCATTAGATGAACGGTGCTAGCACCAGTCCAGCTCTTAAACCACAGGAACTCTCTTTCCAACATGTTCCAGTTCTCAGAGTGCAGTAGCCTACATCTGATAAGGGGACATACTGGGCTCTCCCATTTCTTGAGAAAGCAATGCCAGCCGAGAACTGTATCCAGCGTTAGTTTCTTTATAGTAGAGTCACTGAAGTAAATAGGACTTAAGCGTCAGTAACATTAGATGCAACCCACTGGATACAATCCCACAGGTTCCCCCTGCAGCAATTTAATCTATAGATCAGACCTCTGTTTTTGCACCCTCAAAGAGACCGAGCCACAGCCATTGTGATGGCCAACAATATAAAAGCAACACCAACTGGATTATGGGCTGAAGATATTACAGTCACACGAATATCACCATGGGCGTGAGAAAGTCAGGCAGTAGCTGCTTAAGGACAGAATTAATGAGAGTAGACAGAACACAGGGACTATTAATGAATAATATAAAAATGTAAGAACCCACTGGGAAACGCTTGCATTGTATTAACATTAAATTAATTAAATCTTATCTACATTTACACATAAAAAGCCTTTAAACTATTTACCATTTTCCCAAGATGATGTCAAAGTACTTTCCCAAAGAGACAAGTAGTTGTAATGAAATGACATGCATTTTCTGCTAAGCATGATTCAACTGGCACTGGGGGCAAAAACTTGTTGCTAAATTAAATACACAGAGTTAAATTTCACTTTGAGGCATCTATTTATTCCACGGACAAATTCTTTGGCTTATCCATCTTTAGCATATCAGTACAGTCTCCACTTAGCAGTACTGAGGATTATATATGTAGGAATCAATTGTTTTTGAAAGAAAGTAATCTAAATATTGAAAGATGCTGAAGAATAAGGGAAAGATAGAGTCTGACAGCAAGTTTATTATACAGAAAATAAGCCAAATGCATACCCCCCCCCCACACACACAAACTAACATCTTGAGTTCCACCTAAGACCAAAGGTGTTGTTGTAGCTGACTATAATCAGCATTAACTAAGTGCGCTCTCTCTCTGGGTAAAAGATTAAAGGGCAAACTCTCTGTTTTTAAGCTGCCACTGTGCTGTCCTTCTCTAGGGAATTCTTGTGAGTGAACTCAATGGATGGGTGACCCATTCAAGCTTCTGCTGGGACCCAAAAGGGGTCCTGTTCCCCAGAGGCAAGACCCGTCTGATGCTTGAAAACCTTTCCCTCCTGCTAGGCTTTCTCAAAGGGTTGGTGAAGCCCATCAGTCAAGAGAAATCCAAGCCGCAAGGGATCTTCTATTGAGACAGGGGTCGGGGGGGGGTTTCCTCCCCCAATTCCCCGCAAGAGCTTCTGTTCTTCAACTTTGCTTGTCATGATAACCCACCATGGTGATGTACCATGATGGGGTTGCTCGTTCCATGAAACACCCACAATGAGCTCATGCGTTCCCTTGGCCCTCCAAGTGGGGACTGCAGAAAGCACAAGTACCCTCTCTCTTGCAGCTGCAAAGCTGAGTCAGCTGTTTACAGATCAGGACAGCTGGCCCGACAGCCAGCCTTCCCATCTCCATTTTGGCAGCTTGCAGCTTACCCTTCTAAGGGCCACAGTGGCACTTTGAAGGGGCTACCAGAACTCCCCAGTATTTTTTCAAAGATAGGCTCACAGTAAATGCATCTCTATATAAAACCCCCATTAGTGCAAAGGCTTGTGTTAGCAGAAACCCTAATGGGGTCACTACAAGCTTCTGCTGGGGCTGTAAGGCCATAAGGGGCTGCTGTTACGCAGGGGAAACACCCAGGGAATGCTTGGAAAAATTCTCCTTCCCATAGGATTTCTCACCCAGTTAGAGAACTGATCAGGCAAGAGGAAACCCAGGCCACAAGGGACCAACCACTGAGAAGTGGGTGTTTGGGGGAGATTTACCCCTTCTCAGCAAGAGCTCCCACTTTGCAAAGGGCATAATGACAGGCCCACGTGAGAAACCCACCACTCATGTGAACAACCAGCTGATTCCCTCACCTGGAAAGGGCAGTTGTGGTCTGGGCAAAAGCAGGCAGATTGATCTACAGAGGGGAAAGCCCTCAAGGTTCCATGGACATCAGTATGGGCTAGGATGCCCATTCGCTTTTCCTCATTTAGCTTTTGGCTAAGATCCCATTTTAACTAGGTATTCTTATTCAACTTAGCTATAAGTACAGGGAGATGTTTGGCTGAAGACAGAAATGCTCTGCATGACACAATATATAGGCCTGGATCCAAAGATCCATGAGAGGAAGAAAAAGAACCCCTAGCATTGTTCTGCAGTTGCTCAAGAGCTTGTAGGTTCATACGGCGCTGGAACAGAAAGTTCTCTTCTACCCGAGTTCTCATGAAAGTGGAATTTGGTGGTTGGGATTTCATTTCACTTTCCCCACCTAGTGTTCTAGCACAAGATGGGAAACAATCCTTCCGTGAAAGCAGTGTTTAGCTTTTCCCACGTGTGGAAAGACATTTTCAATACGCACATGAGTCAGCTGCCTGGGAAGGATGGGAGTGGCAATCCAAAACATCTGGAGGGCACCAGGTTGGGGAGTGCTGAGCTGGTATTTCTACAGCACATTTTGAGTATTTGTGGTATTTCAGGTTGCAGATGTGGATCAACAGCCAAGAGAACATTGAATCACTTAAGATGACAGAGCAGTTTCTCTTAGCACAGGTGGGTACTTTAGACTTGAGGAACAAATTTGGTCCATCTGGGGTCTCAATATAGCCCTCTAGGGTTTCCCACAAGCCCTCGATCCCCTTCCTATGCACTGCTCTCTTTTTCTAACTCTTGAGAATGAAAGAGGCAGTTGTTTTTGGAGTGCATTTCAAAGCCACGGAGACTTAGATTCTTTAGGGGTGGGGGGTGGGGGGGAATGAGTGAAATGGAGTCTTCAGATTTTGAGATGTGAGAGGCCTGCCCTCTCCAGGTGTTCAGGTGGACTGCTGGGAGGGGCCATGGGACAGGAGCCAGACAAGCTTGGTACAATCCTTGTCCCCATGACGTGGTGCAGGGAAAGAAGGGCTAGCCAACTATGGGGATGATGCAGATCTAACAGCTGGCATATCTCCAGAAGGGCCCTCCCAGAGGGGTAGGGCCCAGGTGTACCAAACAGAAAGGTTCTCAGAAGTAGTTTCTAGGGTGCTTTCAACAAACTGCTCTGTGCATGCCCAGGGACTCTTTGCTGATTATGCTTTGCTGGATGTACACTGGAAAATACGAAGCTTTTGCCAAAGAACCGTCTGCTGTTTTGAAAGGGGGAAACCTAGCTTCTGATACTAAGCACCAATTGTCTGGCCACTGCCCAGCTTATCTGCAGTTTTTCTTCAACCTGATAGGTTGGAAAGATTATGCTATGGCCTCTTTATAATGAGCTCACAGATCCAAGCCAGATCTCTTTAGATGAAGGCTACAGTACTCAGAGAGGCAAGGATAAAATATCTTTCACACGTGGTGGTTTGAGACAGGAGACTAATCAAATGGCACGGCAAAACATTCCCATCTGTAAATTAGATCCCTAGAAAAGTGCCCAAACATACTTCTTGTCAAAGCAGCATAAGCAGAAAAACTTAGTATTCAAGGAGGGAGGGCGACAACCAGAAAGCACATCCCGCCTACTTTAGTTTAAAGCATTCCTGCTTGCCTAAATGTCTTAAATAAGAAAACATTCCACTTGCAGGTCAATTTCAATACAGGGATACCCCAAACAGACCATTGTCTATCACCGTTCCATCGAGAGGCAGTCATGTGGAAGATCGTACCATGTGCCTCCAACACCTTCTCTACCAAAATCTTTTTCCTGACTCACAAAATATAGTTTTGGGGTGGGGGCAATTAAAGCCTGCACCTTAAAATCAGCAGCTCTCTCAATCAAGCTCTCTCCCCTTTGCTCTACACACACACAAACACACACTTCTTTCCTGTTAGGCACACATGCTAAAAGTGTTATAAATGATCCAGGTTTTGAATATCGTTACCTGTAATAGCCAGGCATCACAATATGAACGCCTGCACTTGGCTGACAGATGTTTGCTACTTCCTGCTCATCCATTTTCCGCACAGAGTCTGTGAAAGGTCCTGTAGCATTGATAACACATTTGGCTTTGACATCAAATTCCTGCCCTGTGAAAGAAAACAGCATCAATCACATACTCCATTTGTTTCCCTGTTCACTGACTCTCTGGATTATTAATTTATCTATGAAGTTAACCTATTGTGAAGTGTGTAACACACACACACACACACACACACACACACACAGAGAGAGAGAGAGAGAATGAACTGCAAGAATGAAGCAGCTGAGATTATTTCAAAAAGACAGAAAATACCTTGGGTTTTTTAAAAAAGGGAGCATGTGTAGCACTTTTATTCTTTTTTCTTTTTGGAAGATGCAACACACAGAAGCAAATCCTCTCTGATAAAAATCAAGAGTGGCAGCGGCTCCCCACCCCCAATTTTGCTTTATTTATTGAGTTCTATATTTAATGACATTCTTAAAGCCTGAAATTTGTTAAATGGTACTATTACTGAACGCGCACACCACACGGTATTTTTACAACGTCAGCTTTGCTTGACAGAAGGGCTTGGATGTAAAATCATGGCTTAGCTTGCCAAAGCGCTCGGGTTTGAATGAAACCCTGACAGAAGTTAAAGATGATTGGCATTAATGACATGCCACTGCACTTTGGAAATATGCCTCCTTTGTCAGTTAAGTGATATTTACAAACTCCAGCCTCCCGTTGTGCTCTTCCCCCACCCCATTCTTTTCCACCTTTAGTGAGGGGAGTAGAGGGAATATCGAGTCCCCGTTTCTTTGAACAGAAGAGCAAAACGCATTTGCAGACAGCTGTGCTTTATTGCATTTCAACAACCATGTGTTCAAAGAGCCTGAGCTGGGAGAGATGGCCGAGGAATTCCAGGATCTGCTGAGCCACAGAATGCAAGCGCAAGCCCACCCCTGTGGTCTGAGAAAAATGGGAGCAGAGGAAAAGCAGGGGCCGTGCACACGCACACCCCAGTGTTAGCATCCGTTCAGTAAAGGGAAGCAAAGGCCTTGGCAAAAATACATACCTGTTAGAACATCCCTGCACCTTGCTCCGCAGACACGGCTCTTCCCGCTGCTGGGATCCGTCCTCTTCAGCAAGCGCAGCACTTCAGTGTAATTGGCTGTGGCAGCCCCGTACCTGGCAGCGGTGAGGGCAATGGCAAGGTTCATTCGTGCATCGTTGTGCTGTCCTGCAGCGGGAGGGGGGGATCAAAGGAAGGACATGAGTCACCTCAAGCCACTGACTTGTGGTATGGAAGTGTGTCAGAACCGATCCGTCACATCTGTCCCTGTCACACTGAATCGGCATGATGGCTGGTCAGGTCTAACGAGAATTATTCAGAGAGAGAGAAAGAACAAACATTGGCCCTTGGTAAGGCAAAACGTTCACCTCCTCTTTTTGAAACTGCAGAAACATACAAAAGCTCAAACGTTTGCAAATGGTCAGGGTTACTATCCAAGCAATATGCACTTATATGTTGCCACTGAATTATTAACATTCAGTCAAGAAGCTCAGATAAAGACAAGCTGCTACTCTCCTTTTTGGAGGAAGGGAAGGCTTTTCAAATCCTGCCCCCCCCCCCAAAAATCCAGCATTAATACAGCATCTCCCCAGAATTTATTTTTGACGGCCCCACTGGTGTTAATTAACAATCTCTATTAGCACACGTGCTACATGACATTAAAAAAAGCAGTGCTCTTTCAGAGATTCCACTGCTAAGCCTCAACTACCTATAAAACTGCCGTACATTTTATGCACATTTTAAGTTCACAGTGAACAATATTTACAGTTAAAAAACGAATCCTGAACATGCATATAGGCAGAAAACCCAGGAGGAGTTAAGCGATCACTCTTAACATTTATATCATTAAAGATTTATTACTGAATTTCCTTACTGAGGAGTGGTGGGGGGAGTCAACATGTAAGAGAGAACACTAGTTGGGGGAGAGAGGGGGAGAAAAAGAAGAGTGGAGATGATTAATTACTTTAAAATAGTGGCATCACCTGAGACTTTCTATTTATTATTGCCAGTGAAGTTAAAAACCCTGGATGTTGGCTGGGAGCAATTATTCCATGTAGCAAGGGCCAAGCTCTATGTGCCCAGAATAATTAATTACACAGGGCTAAACTTCCAAAGGCAGGATTCAGTGTGACCGCATGTTGGGATCAGTGCTATCAAGATAATACCAATAAAAGGGGGGGATGAGTGGTAATGGATACTGTTGTTGATTTATGCAGCCAGCATGCCAAGTGTTCGGTATAAATGATTTATGTAAAGTTCGGCCCCTTCCGATTCTGCTTGAGCAACACCCAGGCGCTAAGCAAGTAATCTGTTTCAAAATTAAAAGGGCAACAAGGGAATCAATGGTTTCCAGAAGTCTACAACCCCCTCCTCATCATCCAAACTTCTTGCTCCAGAGCGGAAGAAAAGAGAGCAAGCAAAGCTGAGGCAAGCTAAACAGGTGCTCAGAAAAAAGAAAAAGAAACCCTCCAGAGTGCCCAGGATCAAGGAAGAGCAGCTTCAATCTGATTTATTTTCAGCATTTTCATTATATTTAGATTGAGTGAGCCCCTTCATCTGCCTACAGTAGAAAAACAAAAGAGATCTGATCAAAAAGTATTCATTTAATTAATTAAATGGGAGTCTTCCCGATATTAAAACAAAGACAGAGAGTAAGAGAATATGTGAAAACGAGAGTAAGTGCCAATGCTAATAACCCATAAAACATAGTGAGGAAATGTGGCTACAGGAAAAAAGTATCCAGAAGTAGTTTGGCAATAGGCAAGCCTTGAATCTGTGACTCTAAAGAAATCTAGCTAAAATTCTCCACTTGCGTGTAAGTCATGGGAACAAGAATCTGTATGAATATCTGCTCTTTGGTTATTTGAAAGCCAAAATACACTCATACATATACACATACCAACAAATAAGCTTTCTAAGTGCTGAAGATTTTTCCAGGATTGGTGGAGGCCACTTCAGCAATGGCAAATGACAATGATGGAGTACGCCTGCTATATTCTCAGTTGTGGAATGTTATTTAGCAAGTAGCTATAGCTCATTTAGAAGAAACAGCCTTTAAAATAATGAGGCATGCATGGATTCCTGGAATAAAGGAGTCTTATGGTTCCCCTTCTCTATATGAAGCTTTTAACCTGCCACTTTACCAAGGTTTCTGCTTCTGGTTTCTTTGTAGAATTTAGATCAGCTCCTTTACATGTTCCCCCTCCCTACAGGATTTCTTTCTCTGCTTTTCCATATGTGCCACTGCACAATCACTAGGGGGTGCTGTGGTAGAGTGCAATTGCATAAAAACACCAATTTATTCATAGCATCATTTCCAAATAATACCAGAATTCCCTCTTTCTAAAGTAAGACACAGAAACAGCTGCAAAGCATGGGAATGACTCTAGAGCAGTGATGGAGAACCTTTTAGAGACCGAGTGCCCAAACTGCAACCCCAAACCCACTTATTTATCACAAAGTGCCAACACTGCAATAAAACCTGAATAGTGAGTTTTTAGTTTAGAAAAAAACAACTCATAAACATCTTTTGTCTTAAAAGAAAAGCACAGTAACAGAGTTGTTCGTGATACAAACAGTTTAGTGAAAGGTAAAAGTTTGTATTTGGCATGCTTTTGCACAATTAATGTGATCGCTGCTGTTGTATGCATGCTGATAATTTGTCAAACCTTGGCTCAAATATGCTGGGGGACAGCACAACATTAAAAGAATCTCAGTCTCTTAATTAGAACATCTCTTTGCTAAATCTTAGATATTAAATTTCAATTTTTCATAAGAAAACTCAAAGCTAAAATCTTGTGTTAATAAAAATGAATGTATTAAAACTCACAGCCAGTCCAAGCAACTCTCTCTCTCTCTCTCTCCCTCCCTCCCTCCCCCCCCCCCCCCCTCCCCCCCCCCCCCCCCACCCCCCCCCCCCCCCCCCCCCCCCCCCTCTCCTTGGCAGTGCACTGACCGGCCATGTGACAGCTCGGATGAGTCGCGGCTAATGAGTCACGGCTCATGACATCATCGCCTGACACCGCTACTCCCTTCCAAGCACGCGCATGGCCCCTATGTGCGCTGTTATCTGATGCTCAGCTGCTGGAGTGACTTGGCTCGTGTGCCGACAGAGAGGGCTCTGTGTGCCCGCTGCGGCAGGCGTGCCATAGGTTCGCCACCACTGCTCTAGAGGATGACAACATTGCTTAAACTAGCAGCCGTAACTAGCAGGGGGTTGGAATCACAAGAGTACCGTGAATGGCTCATGTAGAAAAGCTATATGGGAAAAATATGAGAGCCAGTGTGGCACAGTGGTTAACAGCATGGGACTGGGACTCAGACGATCTGGGTTCTAGTCCCCGCTCAGGCATGGAGCCAACTGGGTGACTTTGGGCCAGTCACAGACTCTCAGCCCAACCTACCTCACAGGGTGGAGGAGGAGAATGATGTAAGCTGCCTTGAGCCCTTTGTAGGAAAAAGGCAGGATATAAATCGAAAAATAAATAAAATAAATAGATATGATACAGGAAAACCAATTAATTGCAGTACTATGTAAATATAATTCATGAGAAAAGTTTCCCAAAAGAGTCAGGGTAAAACTGAGTAGATCATAGAAGGAATTCTGTTTTATTTTCATAGCTAAAATAATTTTGCTTCGCAGAACTCATTTGCTGCTCAGATTGTCATAACATGAGGCTCACAGCTTACTACAGAAGAAAGCTCTTTCCACTTTTTTCCTGTCACGAGAAGACTTTATACACACAAATTTCCAATCATTATGCATTCCGCTGTACTCAGAAAAGCCACTTCAATTTTGGCACAGCACTTAAAGAGCTGAAGGCATGCAGGATTTTTCACAAGGCCCAAATCCATGCGTATATCACCAAAGAAGAATGAGTCAGGAGAACATGGATTGCTTGACTCTATTCTTATGGATACTGCAACCACTGCTGGTTATACTGAAGAGGATACAACAACCACAAATGCGAGGCTACTACCTTGCTGATGTTTTTCAAACTCCAGGAAGCTCCTGGAAACATCTGAATCCAAGAAGCCTAGTTATCAATGTACTGAAATTGTCAGCAACTTGTTCCACCTCCTTCTTCAAACTGAATTCACCATAGAACTGGCCAAGTGGCAAAGAAAAGTAGAGAAATTTGTTTTATTCATTACTACAAGTAAACAGCTAGGAGTATCTCTATCGTGGGAGGTGGGCAACAGATACCAATTTATTTGACATATAAAATTTACTTCCTTTTCCCAGTCATGGGCGCCCTCTAGAGATCTGGCTGGCCAACAAAGACTCCTATTGCCAAGTCAGTTCTCCAGAAGCTTCCTGAGCCTTATAAAGGCAGATGCCTATTCGCGATTGTTCATGAATGACTAATTTGAGAAAAAGAGACAGAGAAAAAGAGAGAGACAGAGAATGAGAGCGGGGAAGAGAGAGGCTACTTCCTGTTGGACTGACAAGTTGACTATAAAGGAAAAAGAATGGAGAGTCCCAATTCCCAAGGCAAATGTAACAAGAAATGTGATCTTCATTTAAAACAAAGAGACTTTGGATACAAGCATAACTCAAACTCCCCTTATGTAAGGAGTTGTTCTACTCTACTACCAAAAAAATTATCTCACTTTTAGCATGCACAATTGAGGCCTATTGCTTAAGTCCAGCTTAAGTCATAAACTGAAGTTTATCTCTGTTGAAGAATATGTAGCCTTCCAGAAGTAGTTGGATTCCAAATCCCAAGAGCCCAGACAGCATAGGAGCCAGAGTCCTAGCAGAACTTTTAGAGCCAGAGGTCCTCCTCCCTGATTTTTAAAAAATAGATTTTTGGCATGCATTTAATTGTTTATAATATTAGTTTTCAATCCAACTTTCCAGGAAATCACAGCATTCCTTGAAACTGTATCTGGTGTTCCTGAAAAAGAAAATCTGAAATGGCAGACAAACTTTGCTAAATGGTGCCTTGTCTACCTTTTATTGTCTTCTTCTACGAGCTAAATTTGGTTGCTGGAGTGTTCTGTAGCATTTGCCACCAATTTTCAGTGACAAATCCATGGAGTTTCTGCTGCCACTACAAATTCTGGACCAAGGATTGAGACGGGGCTGCAGTGGGGACATGTTGTCCACCCTTGTTATTCCAAATGTAACTTCAGAATGCCCGACATGTCTTATGATGCCATCT